AACATCATTCGGATTTACACTTTTGATCTCCGAAAACATGAAAATTCAAAAAGAAAAAACCTAAAAATATAAAATGTTAGTCACTTTACTCTGAAAACAAATGACTTAAACAATAATATTATCATATACTTAAAATTTAAAAAGTTAATCACCTATATACTGTCAGTGTATACACTGTTAGTGTAAAATCTTTTTACACTCACAACCAATTATATCTTTTAATTATGTCATGTCACTATAAGTACATTTACTTTTAACAATGACATGACAAAATTAAAAGATATAATTGATTGTCATTGTAAAAAAACTTTTATACTGACAGTGTATAAATAATTAACTCATGAAATGATAACTGATGGTTAAATTTATAAACTTAAATGAAATAATTATAATTTTCAACTACTTAATTTAAATTTCTTTACTTTCAAAGATGATAGAATCTACAACATACACTTTCAAAACTTGAATGATATTTTACTCAAAATAATCCATATAGAACTTGCTATATTAGAATAAAAAAATGTGCTATAAATTGTTGTTTCTACATGGAAAGAATTAAATAAGATCTTACCGATTTATAGTCATTTGAACGAGTTTGAACGCCCTTATTCTTGTTCTATAAATTTTTTAGTCCATTTGATTTCCTAACTTTTAACCAGGGGACTATTGCTTAAAAAAAAAAAGGAGAAGTATTGATTTTACCCATAGAGATAGATGGATGGAGGATATTCCAATTCAAACTTTGATAAACTGTTGTTTATATTTTTATTTATTTTTTGAACTTGATTCTTAATTCTTCTAACCAAATGTATAACAACTTTCACAATACACTCCAAATTCAACTCAATCTATTCTTTTTTATATTTTAAAATTGTGTGTCATATTATAGTTTGTTTTATAGTGTGTTTGGTATCGTGTTAACATTTTAAATGTGTGTAAAAAAGTATAAAAAAAAAGTAGTTGAATAAAGTTTTTTTTATTTACACGAGAAATAAATATATGTAATATTTAACATTACTTTGAGTCAAACACTCACTTAATGTTTATTTGCACATTGTCAAAATTTCATGGACGTTTGGTTTGAAATAACACTTTATAGTTTTTATGTATTATTTTATGAATAATTTGGAATTTTTGAATTTTTTTTCCTTTTTCCTTTTAAAAAAAATTGACTAAAACTTAAGAGTCATAATGTGTGTTAAAACACATGATTAATGCTTTTTTTTAATCCGTGAGAGTTGAGCACAATATTAAAGAAGATTTACAATAACTCGTACTCTACTCAACTAAATCAGTTATACCTTCTTGATATGATTAATGTATTTTAATAAAAGACATATATAATTATTAAAAATAAAACATTTCTTTTAAATTTTAACACATGCATTTTTAGAAGTAAAATTTAAAATCATTAGTTAAATTAATGTTTAATTATATTTATGTATAAAATACATATTAAATCAAAGAGCTTTGCATATATTTTAGTGTCTTTTTATCTCTTTTTAAATTGTTCCTTTGTTTTATTTTAATAGATCTAGCAATAAAAATTAGGCTAAAATTCACGTAATTTTCCTTTTACTATAAATAAATAACATAAAATTCCACTTGGTTTTAAAATACACATCTTTATTCTCCTAACCAAATTGACCATGATAGTGTAAAATTGATATTTTTTAAAATAAAAAATAGAATTAGAAGAAAAAATGCATGTGCAATCAACCTTAGTGTTAGAAACCTAATTTGACGAGAGTCAAGTTAAGTGTTAAAAATCATATAGAAGAATTCTCGACATTCGACTTAAATGAAATTTCTTGCATTATAATTGAAAGTAAATATAGTGTGATAATGGCCCGAATACCATATAAGACCTGAAAGTTTAGGGCCTAATGATAAAGGCTTGGGCTTTGGAAGATTCATATCTCTTCAGTATATCATATCTAAAGGTTGAGAGACCTTTCTTTTAGTACCCTTTTCCTATTACATTTTTCTTTAATTTTTCAAAATGGACAGAAATGCATTCTCTTTGGTCAAAGTACAAGAACAAAAAACAGAAAAACACAAAAATGTACAAGAAGTGTGAGGAAGAAAAGGCAACATAGAATCATTAATTTGGGTTGGTGCGAGTAACAAGAAATTCACATTATTTAATGTAATATTTAAATTTTTTAAAATTATTAAAATAATATTTTTATAAATTAAAGAATTTTATAAAAATATTTTAGAGGTTTTTAATAATTATGAGTATTTTAATTAAATAATAAGTATTTGTGAAAATTATTTTATTTAATATTTGTTAGAAAAATATGTGTTTTTATGATATTTTGTTGCAATAGGTATTTAGAGAAAAAAAAATGCGTTTTTATTATAATTATTTATTGTTTATATATTTTAGTTTAATTATAATGGTGTTGGGAGAAATATATTTATTTTATATATTATATATTTTTTAATTATTAATTATTGTATTTTGTTATAATTATTTGATTGGGAAAAATATGTTTATTTGATGTATTATTTATTAACAAGTTTTAATATTTGAAGGGAAAAGAAAAGAGAACTATGGTTAAAGTATTGTTTCTAAAGGGTTAAGTGTGCTCCTTTATTTTTATGTTTCTCATTTTTCACATTACACATACATTTTGAAGAACGGGAAAAAGAATCGGAGTTCGTAGGAGAACACCATGAAGACCCATGCCCTTCATCAAGCGTTCATCATGGTAAGGGTGAATGAGTAGTCTCACACTAAATGTAGAATATATGTTGGGTAGCGAGATTGACTCTCTATCCTTTCTTTGTTTTTTGTATTGCATTGCATTATGTGTTTTTGGTCTTCTATCAGATTCTTTGTTGTTCAATTTAATGTTGTGTAGTTGTATATGTCTTCAATTTTGTGATTGAACTTGGACTTGTGAGATTTAGATTACCTATGGGAATCCTAAATGATTATTGTATGAGTAGTTAATATGGGTAAGTAATTAAAATGTGAAATTGATGTTGAATTCGAGTAATTGATGATATAATATGGTATTATTAAGCTTTACTTGTGATATTTAACAATAGATTTGGAGTTTTGGGGTTTTGGGTTTGTATTGTGTGACTTTTGCATAGTCCATAAAGTCTCCAACGAATTGTATCACATTGGGTGTAAAATGGACCATGTCGAGCACCATTTGATGCTATCCCTGCGAGTTTTGGCGCTAGTCACACCAAGCCTAATTGGACAGAGGTTGTGATACTTGCTACGCTGTATGCAATAATCATCATGTCGGGGGGTTTTGTGGTCTTTGTAATAATTGTAGCCTTCAATATTAGTTTTTAAATGTTGCTGGAATAACTTATACAGGAGGTCTAGAACTCAAGTTTTGATCAAATTAGTGAGTAAAGATTAGGTTGTTAGATTTATGCTAAAACGTTACGACTTTGTATTTTTTTTCAAAATAATAGATGACATAATTAACTTTTGAGGTCAACATAAAAGTTGTATATAATTTTCTTATATTTCTAATATAATTAAGACAACTTTATATATATAAATAGATAGATAGATAGAGCGTTTGAATCACACAATGTCTTAGAAGATTAAATTGTGAAAATATAATTTGTGAATGGGGATAGTGGATAGTTTTGTCTCTTTAAGTGTTTGATCTTATGAATGGTTTGAGACACTAATATTAATGGTTATAAAGGATAAATTATGATAGCAAACAATTGTTAATAAGTTATGATGTAACTTGATTGCTAATGAATTAAGGTGTTTTAATCACAGCGATGTTTAAAGACTTAATGTATAATATTGATAAGGTTGTTAAACTAATTAAGCTATTGATTTTAATACTTAGTAAGTGTGGTCAAGGTGTTAACTTATGATTAGACGATCTCATGATAATTATATCTTGAGGTGTATCAAATGATGTTGTGTAATTATTATGTTTAAACTACGAACATGTGCAATCATTATACTACTTAGTGTTGATAACTAGTTGTGGTGTATGAATATGCTATTGATACAATATATTGTGAGCTTTGTATGAATTGATTTATGTGTTTTTGACTTTAATACAATAGATGTCTATGAATCTTGTGAAGGTCATGATGAGAAGGCTACGCGAGACTTAGTCATTATATGATATGATAAAACACATGATATGTTAATTAATGAGAACATGTGAAATTTACTCATCTCATGGATAACTACATCCACAATACAAGAAGGTATAAAACTAAAATCATGAATGACAACATAAAATTTAGCTGCCCTAACCAAATATATTTTTACTTGTAATTCAAAAAATTGTCACCTCATTTTTACTTTATTTAGAGACTTATATAATTTATACAAAATACTTTTTTTTCCCTATTTTATATATACTATATATAAATGTTCAAAAGCAAAAATAAAATAAAATAATAAGACATCTTAATAATTAAATATAAAAATTAGGTTTAATAAATCATTGTTCTACGAATATTTTTGAAAATTTTAATATAAGTTTCTAAATCAAAAAGAATTGTAATTTCATCTTTCATTTTCTTATATTTTTATAATTTAGTTATTGGAGTTAACAATTTATTTATAATTTATGAAATTTCACAAAAATATTCTTTATATTCTCACTTATATTCACATATGAGGATTTTGAAGAATATTTTGTAAAATTTTATACATCATATATGAATTGTTAACTTCATATACTTATAAAAATATAAAAAGATGAAAGATTTAATTATTTTATAATTTAAAAACCTAATTAATAATTCCAAAAAAATTGAGAGACCAAACGATGTATTAAAGTTAAAAATGAAAATATTTTTTTCAAAAACTTTTTGTTTCCTTTTGTATAGGGTGGGGTAATATTGAAATTTAAACCGTTAACTTCCTCCACAGATAAGCATTGGGCTTACAAGGCCCAACTGAACAATCTTGAAGGCCCATGAATAATAAGCACACGCTTTGCTTGCGTATCTGAAGCGTCCAAATCGGAATTCTATAAGAGAGAGGAAAGAGGCTTCCGTAATCATAATTTCGCAGAGCTTATACAGAATTTGTCGGCGGTGACAAAAGCAAACAACAAGCGGAGAGTTCGAAGATGTCGGGTGTTACCAACAACAACGAGGAGGACAAGAAGCCGAGCGAGCAAGGAGCGCACATCAATCTCAAGGTCAAGGGCCAGGTTCGTTCCTTCTTTGTTTCCATTTCTAGGGTTTTGATCCATTCATCAATCGTGTTACTTGTGTGTTTTTGATCCTTGATTATTGACTCTGGTGCATGGTTCTTTCAGTTTGAGATCGTGTTTTGGGGTTTGTTATGTTATGATCGCGTATCAAAGCATGTGGGTTTGTTGCTTTTATTATTTTTTTTTGTAAAAAAATTGGGGTTTGATTGTGGGGTGGCTTTGATTGTTGTTTGATTTTGGTTTGGATTCCTGGGGTTGGATAAAAATTAAATCTTGATGATTTCGCTTTGATTTTTTTTATTTTTTGGATTTGGTTTTACTTTGCCTTTTGTTTTTCTATTATTCTTGCGGGAGTATATCTATATGCGATTGTTTCGTTGATTATGCTTTTCGGATGGAATTTGATTTTGTATTAGGGTTTTACTCTTTGTTACATGTTCCTGATGAAATTCATGCTCTGTGGAGTTTGATGATGCTATCTTTTGTATTGTATATGTTAATTGTTTTGAATTTTGTTTTCCGATTGTAGTTTGGGGTTTTGGGTCTTAAATTTGTTTTAATTTTGTGTGTTGGACTGTTTATACAATTTTGAGCCACTGGATCTTTTTAGATGGTTGGATTAATTTACGTGAGGAAGTTCAAAATGCTCTGTTAGCTTCTTTTCCTGTGTTGTGCTGTTATTGGGTCCTTTTTGTTTTAACTTTTTTTGTTCTTCTGTTTTTTTATTTTAAATTAAATAAGCACTTTTCTTTTCTTTAGAAGCAATTCCTATCTTAAATAATAGGTTTTTTTTAATTAAATCACATGTTTATAAACATTTATTTTTAAGTCTAAACAAATGAACCAATTGTCAGTTTTAGTAGTGTGGATCGTAGTTATCTTGTAAGTGATAATACTTGGCAGTGCACACAGCGTAGGCGTCTACCTGGTAAAATTTACTTGGGGTATGCTTAATATGCTATTTAAATTTGTTTTATAAAATTAATTTCTATTTATTCTTATATATTTATTAAATAACTTGTTAAGTTACATTAATTCTGTATATGTAAGCAGTTTGAATCAGTTTCCTAGCATGCCTTTTTGTAGCGTTTCCTAGCATGTTGTGTTAGCATGCTATGTTTTGTGGCGTGTTTCCCAGCGTGATTTGTGTTGTAACGTGTTTCCTGTCATGCTTTGCTTTGCGGACAGTTTCTTTGCATGCTGCTACTTTGTTAATAAATTATAATGATTATGATTATGATAATGATTATAATAATTTATATGCATATAAAGTGTTATTTTTATAAATTTAAATTTTAAAAGTTGCATAACACTTTTACATGTATTATTATTTTTTTAAAATTTTTTGTGTTTAAAGTTTAATTTATGTTCAATCAATAAATCTTTTTTACAGAAGCATACAATAGGAACACTGGCTAACATAACATCATATTGATTAGGATTATGCCGCAATAGAATGAATTCATTTTGGTTGTCTTGCAAAAATATTTTACACTAATATTTTACATAAATTAAACCTTGGATCCCAAAGGGTTCAATTGCAGAACAGGGTTTTTAATTTACTTCTTCAACACTTTTATAGTGTGCTATTTGTTGCAGTTTGGGACACTATTTTGGTTAGCTTTTGAATGTCGGGTTTTATGGAAGGAGATGATGTGTAGTTTTTTTAGCATAGAAAATGGGGGGAAAATATGCTTATTTGACTTCTATCTGTGCATTTCAATTTGTAATATTATTTCTCCAAACCCCCAAATCCCCACCAAGTGGATCATTTTTTATGGTAAATTATGCTCAAATCCAACTTATTTTACTAATGATTTCTTCCTCCTAAAGTATATCTGTATTTAGGAAATGTGTACCTTTTCTGGTTGAACTGATAATGTTATTGATTGATCACAAGTTGAAGTTTATATTCTAAATTATTGAATTTGTTATAGTTTGGCATATCAGGCTTGGTTGGTTATTAAACTGAATTCATAAAATCATCCTGAGAGTTAATATGCTAACTTGGGATTCTGATGTTGTAGGATGGAAATGAAGTTTTCTTCAGGATCAAGAGAAGCACTCAACTGAAAAAGCTGATGAATGCTTACTGTGACCGACAGTCAGTGGATTTCAACTCAATTGCTTTCCTGTTTGATGGTCGCCGCCTCCGAGCTGAGCAGACTCCAGATGAGGTTTGTATTTCCAACATCTTTTCATTGTTATCATCTTAATTTCCTTTGAATTCAAATAATCAATCTTTTTGGTTTGACTTGAATTTGTTTTTTTGTTTCAGTTGGAAATGGAGGATGGGGATGAGATCGATGCCATGCTTCATCAGACAGGAGGTGCTGTTGTCTGAAGGATGTGGTCCACCTTTGTCCTTGCATTATAAGTAGAATTAGTTTAACTTAGAGAGCTAGGCTAAGGCATAAGATACATATTCTATTATCATCTATGCTATATTATATACAGCTTTTGTCGCTTGACTTAGGTGTTATGCTTCCTTTGTTAATATCATTATGAATGGAGTGATATAATATTTCAGCTTCATTTTGTCTTGAGCAGCCTCCATGAGAGTGATACATCTCCATTATGAAACATGTGTTGGATGTTTAGATCATGTTTTGAAAAGTCTTGAAAGGAATATTTGATAGACATGTGAATGGACATGCGATTTTTAATTTAGATGTTTACAAATTTGCTTGGATGATAACATTTATCAAGGGCATAAAGTGGGCTTAGAAATTTTAAATGATTGAAAATATTCTTCCAATGTTAATCTATATAGCTTACACAGTAATTTGTATTTGTAGGAATGAATCTATCCAGGTTACAAAAATTAGTTTGAATATTGTTAACTTTTATGTTTAAGAACTTGAGCTTAAGTTTTCGATGAATACAGATTAGCTTGGATTTTGCTATTATTATCAAGGGCATGAAGTTGGTTTTGAAATGTAAATTATATTGAATTCAATTGAAAGTATTCTTTCATTGTTATTTTATTTTGTCTTCCACAGTAAGTTTGGATGTCTTTTAAAGTTTTGAACAACAGAGTTTGTGCTTAGTCGTAAAAAAAACATAAGCTTATGCCATTGGAGCTAAAAGTTCTTGAATAAAAAAATTGGGGATGTCAAAATGAATGTTTAATGTGTAAAACTTACCCTTAAGGGTGGCCTTTTTAGTTTTTATTATACATTAATTAATTCTATTATAAATAAATACAGGCTAAACGTAATTGAACTCGTTGTAAAACCCCACTCGTTAGAGGACAATTACTTAAGTAAAAAAGTATCGTCTATATATATTAGTAATTATATCTTCGCAATTTTCTTAAGGTTCCGTTTGGTTTAAAAGAATGGAGGAGTGGAGAGGAAGGATTTAAATGGAGGAAAGTGAAGTAAATGAGTTAAAATTTTTGTTTGGTTGAGATTTCATAAAAATAGTAAAGATATTGTTAGTTTTGTGTCATTTTTTTTGGCCGACCACATGATGGATTAATTCAATTCAAATATTAATCCTTGGCTCAATGTAAGTTGCATCTCGTGGATCCAAAAGTTACGAGAAAGAAAAAATTATAAGAAAGTTCTTATACAATTTGAGAATTTTTTACATAAATAATATTTTTTTTTAAAAAAATTACAAAAGTAACATCTGTGTAACATTATTTATTCAACTAGAACCAATCACTGTTCATGCTCAGAATTCGGTTCCCGGGGAACCGAATTCTGAGTTGTTTTAATTTTTTTTTTTTTGCATTTGTGGCCCATTTTGGGCGAATGCTGGAAGTGGTTCTGGAAGCAGAACGGCCCGTTTCACTTCCAAAACTTGCACACATTTGGGCACAAATGAAAAAAAAAAAATATATTTTAAAACAACTCAGAATTCGGTTCCCGGGAACCGAATTCTAAGCATGAACAGTGATTGGTTCTAGTTGGGTAAATAATGTTGCACAGATGTTATTTTGGTAATTTTTTTTAAAAAAAAATTTATTTACGTAAAAAATTCACAATTTGACCCAAAATATAAGACCTAAAATAAAAGAAATATATACAAATATGAGATATTAAACTTATGGCTTAATTACACTTTTGGTCCTCCTAATTTAGTGTAGGAGCAATTTTGATCCTCATAATTTGAATTGCTTAATTTTGGTTCATAAATTTAAATAATGGGTAATTTTAGTCCCACAAACAATTTACCATCCAAAATTTAACAGACGTTAATGATATGGACTTTATACTAATTAAATATTAATTATATATTATTTAATTTCTTATGTGTCAAATTATTTAATATTCAAATTTTAAAAATTTTAAATTTATTTATTTTATATTTCTCTTTCTTATACGTGTTAATGTTGCAATTGGAACGGCCCGTTCTTCAAGCACAACGGGCCGTTCTGCTTGCATGCGTAGTCCCTAGGAACTAAATTCTGAACGTAAACGATGAAAGATGCTACTTGGGTAAATAAATTGGTACAGGTATTTTTTTGGTAAGTTTTTTTAAAAAAATTTTATTTTAGTGAAAAATTCTCAATGATATTTGAATTTAAAATTTGAATATTAAATAATTTGACACGTAAGAAATTAAATGATATATAATTAATATTTATTTAGCATAAAATTTACATTATTAATGTTTGTTAAATTTTGGATGGTAAATTGTTTGTGGGACTAAAATTGTCTATTATTTAAATTTATGAACCAAAATTAAGCAATTCAAATTATAAGGACTAAAATTACTCCTATACTAAATTAGGAGGACCAAAAGTGCAATTAAGCCTAAACTTATTTATTTAATAATCTATGACCGTAATTCAAAATGAGCTAATATCTATTAATCTTATTAAGCTCATGATGAGCCTAATTTGGATCCTATTAGTGTAGCCTACGCCTCTCTGGGCTATGAGACTCCCGAGAATAATTCCATCATCATCTACCCAAATAACCAAATCTTAAAAGTACAAGAGGGGATGAAACCTTATGTGAGTATATTTATCTACTGAACTTGGAATGAACCGAATGTGTTGACTCGTGGGTTTTTGTATTTTCATGAAAATGTTGAAAAATCAGTTTGATATTAGTAAAAATGATTTTAATTTGAAAAGGGATTGGCTTTGCCTTTGAAAATGTTGAAAAACCAAAACTTGAAAGAGAACACAGTTTTTCGAAGAACTGTTCTGCAGAAATGACTGGCCAAAGCATCGACCTGAAATTCACTCCAGGCGAATTCTCGACAATAGTTAACAAAATATATTGCTATTTTTTTCTGGCTTTGATATTTTAACATGGCTCTTGTTTTTCTTTTTGGCTAGCCTAAATAATGCAGCTTTATGTGAATTAATTAGTTATATACCATATTGTTTTTCTTACATAACTCATCCCATCTTATATGTTATTTCCTATTCATAGATTTATCATTTTCTTTTTCTTGGATTTTGCTAAATGGGGAGTTCAAGTATCAAACAATGGTAAAACCTTTTTAGTTTCTGCACTGCTATTACTTAAAGGAGAAGGGTATTTTGTTTCAAAGACTTTGGACGAAAATGCAGTATTTTATTTTTGGAGTTTAATACTCTGGTATCCATTTTTCAACTGTAAATTATTATATAAATTTAAGAATTCTTGATTTTGTGTAGGTTAAAAAATGGGTTATAACCAGTTATTAATTTATAATAGATTGAGAATGCATTTTAAAATAAAATCGCCAAAAATAACATTTTTTTTAGTGACTTTTGAGTGAAAACTTTTAATCATTTGCTATGTTATATCTTCTTATTATTGGATAAAAAAATATTCCTGTTATTCTAGTAAACAAAAACATATTTGAGTGCTATACAAACAAAAACTAATGAGAAAACATGATTGTAATTAACGATTAAAAAAAGTTCAGGATTATATTCAAATTAAAAATGATTAAAAACCAAAATTGAAAGATGATCAAAGGAAATTAAATCTTTGAGAGTTTCACTTTTATTTAGTGGCTCCCATGTTATGATTTGGTATTGGTGACTGGCAGTAAGGGTATTAAGCGAGTTTGGTCCTTTGTTTGATTTGCAGGTATATGACAGTTATGGAAGACTCGAAATGAGAACATTTTCAAAGACAAATTCTTTAAGGTGGAAGAGATCGTGTTCATGGCTCAGTTGAGATTGTGAAAGTGGTGTACGACTGTTAGAATGATGTCTTCTTCTTTTTCAGAATGGTTAATGAACCCCTTGTCCTGTGCAAGTGTCCCTTAAATTTGTTTTTTCTTATTTTTGGGTCATCTTGTTTTTAATTATGACTTGCATTTCTTGTACACAATTTTCTTGAGATTAATAAATTTTTGGCTTATAAAAAAAAATAAAGTTGAATGGTGATAGTGATTAAGGAACAAGATGCCGTTACAGTTTATGTATTTCAGGCTAAGCATACTTATTCCATATTTGACTAATGAATCAGAAAACGGTATTGAGTTAGTGGTTCATATTAGTTCAGTGCTAATTCTTTGATTGATTTTGACTTTAAGCACTAGACATGTGGTCCATCTGAGTATAACACAAGGGCCTAGTGGAAACATGGACAATTGATTATTCGATAAGGACATGCAAGTATTGTTGATATCCCCTAAGTCTTATGATATGAGGCTGCCACGCAGGTACAATATATGACAATTGGGATAATTCATTGTTTTTATTTGCCTGCTGCTGATGATCATAGTTTCTCCATGAAATTGTTACTACTAATTTGAAGTTTCTACAAGTGACCTAAACAAATGGGTAGAGGTTTTACAAAGTTATTAGCTTATTTGGATAGTTTTAAATCAACCTTTATATAAACAACAATTATATTCTATTTGAATCATTTTAAGGTTCCTTTTAACTTTATATATAATTCAATTTTTATTTATCATACTTATTTATTTATGAGTTAAATGTTAATATTTTAAAATATATTATTAATAAATAAAAATAATTTTGTGTTACAATAAAAATTATTTATCACAAATTTAATGTATAATTTATATATTTAAAAATATTTATTTATTTAAAATATAAATATAATTTATATATTTAAATAGAATATTTATTTATATATATAATATTTTAAATTTTAGCTATATATAATAAATATTTAACATGTACATTATATAAACTAATACTAGTTAAAATGTATAAAAATGTAAAAGTTGTTTATTGTTTATATTGTCACTCAATTGCAAGTTTGTTATTTTTTTAACTTATTATTTTAAAATTTATATATTCTATAATTTCTATGAGTTAATAACGGGGATTATTTCATAAAAGTATCAAATTAATTAATTTTATTTTGATATTTTTTTTAATATTTATCTCTTCATATATTAAAAACAACTCTTATATATTAAACATATATCTTTGAGAGTATTTTTAAGAGTTTTTCTTCAACGAGAAATTTGCAAGGATTTTTTAGTTTCTTTTATAATTTTTTTATTATTTGTCATAGTTACTTTTGAATAAAATATTAATATTTGAAAAAATATTAATATTTGAAATAAGTTATCAATAAATAAAATAAATTTTTGTTACAATATAAATTATTTTTTTATAAATATAAAATATTATTTATATATTTTAAAATATCTATTTAATATTTATACAAATTTTATATATGATTTATATATTCAAACATAATATATATTTTTTATTTAGTTTATTATAAATA